TTGTTGCGAAAAGCAAATAGTTTTGAACATTCAGAGTCCCCTATTTAATTTTAAGCAACGTTGCTTGTAAACATGTAGCCATTGTTAGACATTCTTCGCAAGGTTTATTAGTACGTCCTACGCCTTCCTTCCTCATAATGGTAAATTTGTGTTTGATATAACCAGCTGACTTTTGTCTGTCCTTACCAAATCCCACACAATAAAACTATAGCGGATTCGTTCTATTAAACGGTCTTCTTTGCCGGTTTAACAGAATGAATGCCTTACTCTGCTGTTTAGCATAAGTTAAATATTCTTGCCATGGTGAGCGATTTTTTAAAAATTACCTGCTTCGATTTTTCAAATGTTCAACAATTAATTGTAATTTTCGTTTGGTTAATTTATACCGAGTGCATGTTCTAACGCTCTATTTGTGCTTGCGGCTCATTTTAAGCGTCCAATCATTCAATGGTAGCACGTGTGGTCGTTTTGGTTTAATATGTTGTCTACTCTCTCGTTTGTGCGGTCTTCCGTCTGCCACTTCAGACGTACAAACCCATCAGCTTCACGAGCGCTCTCAACTATTCTGGGAATTGAAACTAGCTGCGATGATACTGGTGTTGCTGTTGTCAATGGAAAAAGAACAATTTTAGGAGAATCGCTTGCTTCACAGACACCTACGTCGGTCAAGTAGTCATTGGTCACCTAGTTTTATTTGTATTTTGAATGCAATCAGTGGTCTGTAGTTTTTTAGAATGGGTGGTGTGATTCCACCACTTGCACAAAAGCTACATGTCGAAAACATCGGAGGTACCGTCCTGACAGCCATAGAAATGTCGGGTGTTTCGTGGGATGATTTGGATGCCATTGCTGTCACTGTCAAACCTGGGATGGCGTTATCTCTAAAGATAGGTGTCACGTATGCTAAGCAACTAGCCGTGAAACACAAGTTTGATTACTTAGAATTTTGTTGACTCGTTTTCTGTTAGTCTGCCTATCATCCCAGTACATCACATGGAAGCGCATGCATTAACAGCAATGTTGACAGATGAAAGGTATAGTTGTGTTATCTTGACTTGATCTTTTAGTTTGACTTTCCCATTTTTAGCATTGTTAGTAAGCGGTGGACACTCGCTTCTTGCTCTTGCTAAAGATGTGGATGAGTTTCTCCTGCTTGGCACCTCGCTTGATATGTCCCCTGGGGATTGCTTGGATAAAGTAAGGTTTCTGTCATGTCTAGACGGAATAGATCGCTCGTCGCTTGCATCTTGCGACTCTTAACAATGCAATGTACAGCCAAATTCCTGGTGGAATGGCAATCGAGCTAATGGCCCGTACTAGTTGCAGGTCCGGAGTCTATCCCATGCCCACACCAAGGAGCACCGTACGAGATTGTGACTTCTCCTTTTCGGGCATTCGTTCAGCGGCCGATCGGTTGATTGCTCGCCTAGAAAAGGAGCAAGTGGATGGGATCCTACCCGTTGGCGTTATTGCCTCCATTTGTGCTTCCTGTCAGACTGCTGTGACTCGACTTTTCTGTAGACGCGTGCAAAGAGCCATTGAGTTTTGCGTGCTCAACTCACTTCTACCATCCTCCGTCAGAATCCCTAAAACGTCGTGGCCTACGCCATCTCTTCCTGTCAACGTTGACCTCTCCGCGCCTGCTCTGGTTAGTATGCTCGTATAACTCTTGCTCCAAGATAAGTGTTTTACTTTATAACCTGATTCATTCATTGTGGTTCTGAGTAAATGTACCGACTGAATCCATAACCTAGGTTGTATCCGGTGGTGTAGCCAGCAATCTGTTTATACGGAGTGAACTAACCAAAGTGGCTGCGCACTACGGAATGCGATTAGTCGCACCTCCACCGCGGTTGTGCACTGATAACGGAGTAATGGTTGCCTGGTGAATCGTCGTTTCTTATTATTTTAAGCTTTTCCTTTAATGACGGTCTCGTTTGATGTACTTGAACCCTTTTCTACCAAAGTTCATACTTGGCATGGGCTTGATGGGCGTTAACTTTTAATCTTGCTCAGTTGATATTGTGAAACCTTTTTATGCATATCCCAAAGGTTAAAATATTGTTGTGGCTTATTCGCCTTTGGGGCGCATGCTTAAATGCCTTGAGACTGAAGGTACTCTGAATTTGGTAAGCATTTTCATTGATATCCAGCTGCCGAATTTAAGCTTTGGATCTTTTCGAGTTTTTCTGTTTTGCACACAGAAACTAATTCAATTTAGTCAAGGTTAGTTCCATTTGCCATCAACATAATACATATTTTCATTCCTCAGGAATGGGGTGCTGCTGCACTCCAGGGGAAAGCGAATCGAGCACGATCCTAGTGTAATCGACTTCAGCCCGAGGTGAGAAGTCGTGGAGCTTATTTTCCTCCCATTACAACTGACTATGCATTTTTTTGTATAGGGCGCCTCTTGGTAAAGACATTCGCACCCTTGTCGCGAACGCAAATATTCAAATAAAGCCTCTGCAACTGGCCAGATCTCAATCATCAGGAGATGGCAATTCCTAAGTGTTTGTGTACCTTGTATTTCCTTAAAGATGACATCTCTTTCCTTGCTCCTTTCTCACCATTGAACTTTCTCGGGTTTCAAGGGATGAGCATGTGATGAATTGTAGTGTTTGCGTTCTATGATTATCATGGAGGTGTTATACAGTCTTCCGGAGTCCCCTTTTTTGGGTGGAGTTGGCGGAGTTAATTACTTTATTCCTTAATCTCGGGAGTGGGCTTTGCATTCAGAGGATTGGATGCCGGTCACGATATTTTGTCCTACCAGCCAATGTGTTAGTAGTACTTTGATTTCACTTATGACCCTTGTGGAAGATAGAGGACAGGAAGGTTGCGTTTTTAATTCCGTTGGTCCGCTCCTTATAAGATGTTTTTTCTTCCTTAGTTTCGGAAGACCTGATTTAACTGTCCGTGGGTTCGAATAGGGTTTACAATCTCCTAGTTTGGTCGCGGTGACCTTATATGAGGTGTGCTTTAACCGTAGAACTTCGTGTCCAGCTTCCCAGTTGAGTTATTTGTTGTCCATCTGAGGTCGTGTCGAGACTCCTCGGAAAGGTGCCGTTAAAACAACCGCTGTGGGCATCTATTAAGTATGAGCTACTCGAAGGCAGTGCCACGTTTATTAATCCACCTTCAAGTGAGCATTCCTGAGGCAGGGCGCCTATTTTGCGGAATGTTGTTGATTGCGGCTTCAACTGTACCTAGAGGTGCTCCAAGGAGTCATAGCATTAACTCTCAATCCAGGCTGTAATATTGGTAATAACTGGCTAATTTAATCTTGGAATTTGTAATTGGCCTTAAATCCTTCCAAGTAATTTGCTCGGTATCTGGAACATTGGCTGTGCCGTAATTCATTCCACCAGGTGACTGTATTTGTTGGTAATTTCAGAGCTGAATGAGAGTTCTTTTTAACTGCTTTATGAGTCATTTTGCTATATCAACTCTGTGTTCAAAGATTTACCCCAATAATTGCATTTGAGTTCCCACTATGACATGTTTAATTCTTTTAAATATTCTCTTTGCAATAATGTGGGGACGGCCAACAACATCCTTCGCCCTTCCCTAATAAAATTGACCTTCCTTAGAGGTTCTAAAGGTGATTTAGTTTTATCGAAAATTTTCATCTCCACCCTACAAATAAGAGCAAAGCAATTTCGCTAAGCTCAATTTAAATTGGGTGACAGTTGGCGACCGTGATGATTCGATCTCATGATAGGAAAAGCATAAGCAATGTTATAAAGCAAAATCTCCCCAATTCTTAGGTAATTTGAGAGCGCTGAGAAGAGGTCTCATTCTTCCATCGCCGCCAATCGCAATAGTCTGCAGATCTCGCTGCTCTTGAATTTATCTGGATCCCTCTCTCTTAAGTGATCAATGTGCTTTAATTATCCCTTAGCTTTTCTCGTGGTTTGACAAATGCATATGGGAAATTTTTTCCAAAAATGAGTGGATGACTGAAAAGACTGATGAATGACGATCCTACAGTTCGACTTCTTCGGCGCTCCTAGATGTTGGTAAACCGTTGAGAAAGTTACTAACACTCGTGCTCGTGAGATTTATTACCATAAGGGGCATGTCAAGTTTGTCCTATTCTAT